CAGAGCGGGTCGCTGCCGCGCCATTGTGCCAGAGGCAGACGATACGATCACTTGCCGCTGCCTCAGGGATCGCTAGGTCAACGCTACACCGCCATTTAAAAAACAGGATTCTACGGAGATTCATATGCAGGGTGAAACCGAAGCTTTCTGAAGCACACAAGTTGCAACGCTTATCATGGGCTCTCGACCACGTTCAGCGAGCTATTGGTACGAGTTATTTTTTTATTAATTATTTTACAGGAGGTATTTTGTACCGTTTTGATGCAATGTATGATGTTGTACATATAGATGAAAAATGGTTCAACATGTACAAAACTTCAACTCGCTACTACTTATCGGCCGATGAATCGCTACCATATCGACCATGTCTGAACAAGCGGTACATTGGGAAAGTACTGTTTATTGCTGCCCAACGTTGCTATGTGCTGGTGCTTGGAGGTGAGAAGGAGGCCTCCTTCGCATCTTAGCTAGTCAAGCGGTTGTGTCATTAAAAATAGCAGCTGTTGCTCTAGAAGCTTTAGACCTATCCTCGGTAATAAATTACACTAAGAAAAAAAAATGACGTCGTAATGTTCTAAATATTACTACTGTCGGCGCATGGTCCGAAACACTGCAAGCGGGTCCGGGAATTGATCAGTTATGTTTTGTTGCACTGAGTCGGTCATTTACGATACGGCAGTTGAATTGATAACAAGGCGCTTTCAATACGATTTTTCAAAAAAAAAATCAATTTGACGGGAAATTGGGATATGGCCTATTGTGGAGAAAGCTACTGCCAAGAAGTCATCAAAAATCGACCTGCAGGAACACCTGTTACGAAGAATATCAACACGACAAGGGAAGTGTACATTCGCATGCTGAAGGAAAATGTTTTTCCTGCAATCCGTAAGAAGTGGCCGGGTACGCATTTTTCAAACTTGTTTTTTTATTTTATTAACAATTTAGATATTAAATTTAATGTTAGGACGAAAAACAGCACTTGTCAAGGTTTGCAGCAAGATAACGCCGGCCGTCATGTCGACGAAGATCACGGAGAAATAGCTACAGTTGGGCGTGAGCAGGGCTGGAACATCAAAATAGTGTGTTAACTTCCTCGTTCACCGGACTGCAGCATCTTAGATCTGGGAATCTTTAATTGTATTCAGTCCATACCCTACAAACCAGATCGACGGACTAATTGAAGCAGTAGGAATAGCGTTTAATAGTATAAATAGTCAAACTGTAGAAAAATGCTTCCTCACTTTGCAAAAAGTGCTGGAATGCATTATTGTCAATGAGGGCGGCGACCATTTTAAGCTCCCTCGAGTGCGTAAGGTTCTGCACAATAAGTGTGTTTTACCAGCTTCTCTTTCGACGACAAGTGGGATAGTAGACAATGGCTACAAAGCGCTCACATCACAGATTCTAAATCAATAAATGATCCGGTTTTTGAGTATCATAAATCGTAGGATTTACTTACTAATTATTCGATTAAATCCGTCCTGAAATATGATTGGCTGGAATTATCGAATGATATGCCATCAATTATGGTAACGGACAAAAAACCTCACTTCTTTGACGGCCTAATTAGGGATCTTGCTCGCGATTGTGAGCAGTTTGGCTTGCGATATGTATTGAGATACCCAAAAGGAGCATCTGGTTAAAGTTTGATCTAATATCGCTATTTTGGAGTGGAATTACGAAAAAGTTAAAAAAAAAAAAAAACCTTATCCAGCTGCAATTTGGCGCCACTCTTGCGCTGTTATTTGCATCCTACTTGGCGTTAATACAACACAAAAAATATGAGGAGAACCGTTATTCCGAAAGCTTTCGAATAAGGGTGTCAGTGCATCAAAATTCTACCTACAGATGGCGGAAAATTGTCAAATAGCCATAAATTCGTGGGACAGAGAAGTGTGCCATATTGAGTTGGAAATAAGAAAATTCAATAAAACCGTTTCAGATCCATTTTTGAAGGCACCCAATGTTTTGCATGTGTAATCAGAATCTGATGTACCCATTGGATACATCGAAAAATCCATTTTTGATCCGTTTTGGCACCCAATGCGTTCGGCATATTGTCATTGGGTGCATTGGGTACTTACTACCCAAAGGCCAGGATCCGACTGACTTACTGTAACCTAACATAGATACATGCTAATTTTTTTGATTCCTAGAATATGCAGAAGGAAAAAGATCCGACTGTTTTCTTTGG